TAAATGAAAAAAAGTGACTCCTTAAAGACAGGCCCAGTACATCTGTACAGCCCTCCCTACCCTCAGTGTCTTACACACTTTCACACCTGCTGTTCCCTGGCTGGCACAGTGTCCTACAAACACAAAGTAATTAAGCTACCACATACACAGCCCTAAGCAAAAGGACAACCCCTGGCCTGGGGGTCTGTCCCAGAGGGGAAAGGGGCTGTGTGGGATCCAAAGGGGACTCCCCGCCCCCCTGGGTGAGCCCTCCCTTTTCTCCTTCTCTACCCCCAGCCTCAGTCCCAGCTGCGCCTCTTTTAATTGGAGGCACTTCTTTATTCAGCAGTGGAGGGGGGTGGCTTTTGGGGCAGGAGTCCCCAGGTGGCCTCTGGGCTGGAGAGAAGGGTCTGCAACTCACCTAGGTGTGTGCAGGCAAGACAAGGACCCCGCCTGCCAAGTCTGGGCTTTAGGAAGCAGCTTGTGGTGAGTGGAGTCAGAAAATCAGCGTTTGAGTCCAGTCTCTGCCCCTTTCCCAGCTCTCAGTTCCTTGATTTCCTCATCTGTTAAATGGGGATATGAGAAACTTAAATTATTGGAAGATGATAAGACAAGATAATGAATGAAGGTACCTAGAACAGTGTGGGCACTTTGGGAGTCCTGCTGTCTTTTCCTCCTCTGTCTTTTCTGACAGAGTTGCTCCGTGGATGGGACAGCCAGGGAAGGCTGCAAAAGTGCTGTGGAAACCCAGAAGCTGCACTGAATGTAAGCTCCATGTGGCTCTCCTCCCCTGTTTCAGAAAACTTCCCAGGCTTCAGCACAGTGCTCAGGTAACACTGCGTCTGGGAGGAGGGGCAGGGGCCAGAGCCCAATGAGTCCTGAACCTTTTGTCTCATCTTGCTAGTCAGGGAAGGAGCTCGGAGGGCAGTTCTGAATGAATCTCTGCAACTATCCTATCAGAAGATGAAGGCTAAGGTCAAAGGGACTAACAGAAACCCACCTGATAGGAGGCCACATCTGGGACTGAAATAAAAGTTGATTCTAATAGGCAAGAGAGGTGGGCATAAAGTAACTGGAAGAGATTGGTCACCAGCAGGTTAGGTAACAGCTGTGAGGGAAGGGTGTCAGGGCGTCCCTCGGTTGCTGGCTTGTGATTAAAAGAGCCTGAGGGTCTTAGTGGCCCATTAGGTAGCTATGAACTCTGCCAGCCTAGACTGGCTACCCAGTCTAGGTAGTCTCAGCAAGGTCTCTTTCCTGGTACTCTGAAAGACTAGTGCCAGATCTAAGGAATTTAAGAGGTGGGATGCCAAAAAGTTTGGAACAGATAGGGTTGGAAGGCAAGAGCAGCTAGGAAGGTGCACCTGGATGAGAGAAAGAGGCTGGGAGGGGAAAACTTTAGAAACATTCAAGAGGTTTTCTGCATGGGCCCAGAGGCAAAGAGAAGATGTCCTAAAGTTAACTTGGAAGTGTAGGGTTTTAACTGCAACATGTAGCACTGTGACTTCTTGACTAAAAGGAGCAGGGCCACTGGCACTCTGCTTCAGAGGAAGCTGTAGCACCCCTCCCATGGTTTTCAGCCTCGCACGGGGAAAACAGCTGCAGTTGGGAATTTCCAGGTCAACCCTCTTCCGGCTGTGGGACTTTGGTGGTTCAAACCCACCAGCCACTCCTCTGAAGGAAGGTTGGGCAATCTACTTCCATAGTGATACTGCCTCGGAAACCCAAGGAGGGGTTGCTATGAGTTGGGTCCGACTCAGGGCAAATAACAACAACAACAACAACATTCACTTCACCAAGCCTCCCTTTCCCTTTCTCTTTTTAAATGAGACATAATAAACATACCATAATATTTATCCTTTAAAAGTATATAATTCAGTCATTGTTAGGATATTCATAAAGTTGAACAATCATCACCAGTATCTAATTTTGGAATATTTTCATCACCTCAAAAAGAGATTCTGGTGCCCTTAGCGGTCACTCCCCATTTCTCCCCTTCCTCCAAGCCCTGGCAACCACTAATTGATCTTCTGTCTCTACGGATTTGCCTGCTCTGGATATTTTGTGTAAATAGAATTCTGTAATATGTGACATTATACATTTGACATCTTTCATTTTCACAGAATATTTTTGAGGTGCATCCATGTTGTAGCTTGAAATAGCACTTTGCTCCTTTGTATGGCTGCATCATGTCCCCTTGTATGGATATACCACACTTTGTTTATTTGTTCATCGGTTGATGGACGGATGTGTTGGTTGTTTCAACTTTTTGACTATTATGAATTTCACTGCTGTGAACATTTATTCCATTTTCTTGATTAGAAACAATAGGGACATTTTCGTTAACTTCACCAAGTTGTTGTGAGTCTTAAGTGTCATGCAGTGCCTGGCTCATAGGAGCTCTCAGTAAACATTTGTGTTTATCTCTGTTTTAGCTCTCTCAAGATAAAAGCTGGGAATGAGACTCATTCAGTTCAAAACAACTTCCTAGTAAGTCACAGAACCTCCAGGGTAGGGGTGCGGTACTTGGATGGGGCAGGTGGGAAGGAGCGAAGTGGAGGGAGAGAAGCTCTTTCCTCATGTCTCTGCTTAGTGTGTGCAAACAATCATCAGCTTCACATCTGGCTTTGTCTTGAGTGGGCTTTTGCTCTCTCTCAAGCTCTGGTGGCCTAGTGCTTAAGGCATTTGACTGCTAACCAGAAGGCTAGTGGTTCAAACCCACCAGTCACTTCTCTGAAGGAAGATTGGGCAATCTACTTCCATAGAGATACCTCCTCGGAATCCCAAGGAGGGATTGCTATGAGTTGAATCAACTTGACCACAGTGAGTTTAGTTTTCAGTTTTTAAAGAGAGAGGCTGCCAATCTAACTCACCAAAGCAGGTAAAATTCATCTTGATTAGCCCATCCAGCTTCTCTAAAATTTTGTTTCTTACATCCGTAAAGTAGGGATAATACTTGTCTCAAAGGGTTGGGCTAAAGTTAAGTTGATATTGTTCTCCATAGCACTCATTACCAACTGGCTTATTATATATTGCTTACATTAAATATTTAATTCATATTTTATAATATGTGACCTTTTCTGTTCTGACTTCTTCCACTGGGCATGGTGTTTTTGAGGTTCATCTGTGTTGTAGCATGAATCAGCACTTCATTCGTTTTTATGGTTGAATCATGTACCATTGTATGGATACACATACCACATATGGACATTTATAGTATATCAATATGTTACATTATTATATATTATGTGTAATTGTACATAGTTGTAGATAATATATCATTTATATAAATATATTAAATATATAAACATGTATATTTATTTATTTCTGACCCTCTCTACTAGAATATAAGTTTCATGAGGGTAGAGACTTAGCTTTGTTCACTGCTGAATCTCTATAGTGCCTGGCACATAGTAGGTGTTCAATAAATGTTGTTAAATAAGGGGATTCGCTCATTCATTTTTCACCCAAGATGAGAATATGCTGTGGTTGGGGCCATGTTCCACAGGGAAGGGAAACAGATGAGTAGTCCATTCCCTGACCCCAAAGAGCTCTTCAAGGGGAGGTGACAGACTTTGCAAAAAACAAATAGATTTCAAAGGGACTTGATAAGTAGAATGTGAAGGCACCTAGCATCTTGCCTGATAGAGCCAGGCCCTCCTGAAGGTGCCTTGAGTCTGAAACTGACCTGAAGTAGACAAGAAATAGATCCCAAATGATCTAACCTGTGCCTTCCCCAGAGCTTGGCTCCTGGGTGGGAGCAGACCTTTCCCTCCCAGAGAGGGGAAAGAGAGGAAGCAGAAAAAGGGAGTTTCCTCCTTCTCTCCTGGGCTCTAGGCCAGGCAGCCACAAGCAAAATGTTGAAAAGACCTAGGTCTGTCCTGGGTGCGTTGTTCACCATTCCCAGGCTTCACAGCCTTAAGCCCCAAGATTTCAAAAGTAAGAAACTAACTTCCTTCTCTTCATAGTCAAAGGCTTCTTGCTTGGAGTCCCCTGACCTGGGCTCGCTGCTCGGTGGGAAGCAACTGGGTGTTCAATCACCTGCTGTGAGAATTGCTTCTTAAGACAGCCCAGGGGAGGGCTATCTTGAGGCTGTGGACAGCCTAGCAATGGGCCCCAAGACAATACTCTTGAGTTGTGCCTGCCTTTCAGAATGTCTTTCCTTCCTCAATTTCTCTAAAAAGGCTGAGTTGGCTTGGTGGTGGTGGTGGTTTTTCAACAACATAGAGATACTTGTCCCTAAGCTCCTGCTTTAAAGTGGGACGCGCCTGAACTCACCGTCCTGCCTCATACCTGGGGAGCTTCTACTTTCTAACCAGCCCGGCTTGAAGTTTGGAGTAAATCCCCTGCTTGAGTGACAGGTGCTTCCCAACTGAGCCTTTGGGGAGATTCTCGGTTGTGCAGCGACACTCCTTCCCCAGAGGCCTGGTGGGTTGCACTCCAAAGTGAGGGGTGGCTCCTGTCAGGTTGGGAAGGGGCTCTGACTGCCCCCTCCCTGGGTCCAACCATCTGTCCGGTCTCTGAGAGTAGCCGCCCCAGTTTCTGTTCACTCTTCTCTCCGTTCGCCTCTTCTTCTTGCTTCTCCTGAACTCCTTCTCCTAGCCTCGGTCTCCGTCCCTCTGCCTCTGGCTCCAGCATCTGTGTCGGCTCCAGGCCTCCCTCTCCCCTCCCGCCCCTCCCCCGCGCTGTCATTCACCCCGCTCCTCTCTGCGCACAGCCAATGGAGAGACCCGGCCGAAACAGCAAGGCTCGCTCGCACCGGGCTTTTTCGCCCGGTGATTGATGTCCCAGAGTCTACAGCGAGCGAGCAGCCGGAGAGGGGTAGGAGCAGCCGGAGAAGGGAGGAATACGGTGCCCCCTCTCTCCCTCCCCTCCCCCTACTTTAGCCCTCCCAGCGCACTTCGCCTCCAAGTCTCAGCGCAGCCGGGAGCCGCCGCCGCCTCAGCGCCCTCGCGCGCTGTCCCCGAACCCAGCGCCGCGAGCGCCGTCGCCCGGCCCCCCTCCCCCGCGGGGCCGGGACCAGCATGGAGCACCTGGGGCCGCATCACCTCCACCCGGGCCACGCAGAGCCCATCAGCTTCGGCATCGACCAGATCCTCAACAGCCCGGACCAGGGAGGCTGCATGGGGCCGGCCTCGCGCCTCCAGGAAGGAGAATACGGCCTTGGCT